ATAAAACTCTCTCTCAAGGCTAATCCCCTTGAGATACTGCTTCTACCCCATTTCTGTCCTCCTCTTAATACTAAAACTTTGGGGCGACTGTTTATGCTCATTGCCTCCAAATTCTCTCCTTCTCTCTCTTGAACTCACTGCCATCACAGTTCTGATCAAGATCACCAGTGACCTACCTGTTACAAAATCTGAAAGTCAGTGGTTATCTCTCTGTCCTCATCTTACTCGAACTCTTGGCAGTGGCTGACACTAAGTGAGCCCTCACTCTTCCTTAAATAACTTTCTTCTCTCGGCTTCCAGGAAACCACATTCTGTTGGTTTCTTCCTTCTGCTCTGACTGCTTCTGCTCAATCCCCTTTGCTTGTTGCTCCACAAGCCAACCTCTAATCTTTGGAGTGCTTTAGATGTCAGTCCCTGGGCTTCTTCTCTTTTCTACTTGAGCTTACTGTCTAGGAGATTTCATCCAATCTCATCGCTTGCAAAGTTCTGTCTCCAGGCCAGACCTCTCCTATAAAGTCCAGGATCTATCTTGCTACTTGACATCTCCAAGTGAAGGTCTAGTGGGCACTTCAAACTTAGCAAGTTCAAAATTAAGCTCTTGATGTTTCCTCCTAAAACCTATTCTCCCGCTGCTGCCCTACCCATCTCAGTGTAATGGCAACTCCATTCTTCTAGATGCTCAGGCCCCAAAGCAAGTTGTCCTTCTTGACTGTGCACTGTGTCTCATGCCCAACATGCAGTCTGGCAGCAAATCCTGTATATCTTAACTCCCAAAATGCAACCAGATTTTGACCATTTCTCATAGGTTCTCACAGCAGTGCTATTCCTACCATCCTTCTTCAAGCCACCATCGTCACTTGTGTCTCACCTAGATCATTGCAGTGACGTCCTTGCAGGTTTTGCTGCTGTTACCCTTTTCCCCATTCAGTTCTCTATGGAAGGAAGAGTGAACCTATTAAAATCTCAGTCAGCTTATACTACTCTCTGCTAGAAATTCCTCAGTGATAACCCTTCTTACTCAGAGTAAAAGACAAAGCTCTTAAAATAACTTCTAAGGCTCTATATTATCTGCTCCCCTCTATTAAGTTTCTAAATTTATCTCCTACCAATCTGCCCCTTGTTCTCAGCTCTCTAGCCACACTGGCCCCCTTGCTGCTCCTCAAACACACCAGGTATAATCCAGCCTCAGGGCCTTTGCATTTACTATTCTGTGCCTTGGATGCTCTATATTCAGATAACTGCAGATCTAGATCTTTCACTTCTTTCAAATCTTCACTCGAGATTCACCTTTCCAGGCCATTCTATAGAAAACTTTTCTCCCTCCTCCCTACCCAAACCCCCCAATACCTCCATTTTATGCTGTAGATTTCCTCCTGACCACTTATCATAATCTAACATACTGTATGTCTTAGTCTTCTCAGGCTGCCATAACCAAATACCATAGAGTGGGTGGCTTAAACAGTAGAAATGTATTTCTCACAGTTCTGGAGGTTGGGAAGTCCAAGGTCAAGGTGCCAGCAAGGTCAGTTTCATTCTAAAGTCTCTCCTCTTGCCTTCTACATGACTGCCATCTTGCTGTGGGCTCACACAACCTTTGTGTGTGTGTGTGTGTGTGTGTGTGTGAGGTGGAATCGGGGAGAGAGCAAGCTCTCTGGTCTCTTGTCTTATAAGGGCACTATTCTCATAAGACCAGGGTCCTTACCCTCATGAGTTCATCTAACCCTAACCACCTCTCAAAGGCCCTGTCTTAAATATCACATTGGAGGTAAGGGTTACATCATATGAATTTGGGGTGGAGGGAGTTATAAACATTCAGTCCATAATACTATATATATACATATAAAGCTATATGACTATGCGTATTTGCTGATCTTCTTTATTGTTTGCCTTCTCCCACTAGAATGGAAGTTTCATAAAGGGTTAGAATTTGTGTTTTTTTGTGTGTGTGTTCATGATTTTAATCCCTGTGTTTCGAGTACAGCCAGACAAAATAGGCGCTCAATAAATAATAAATGAATGAATGAAAAGAATTACACCTGATGATAAGGACTAAGAAGAAAATAAACAAGCTCATAGGTTAGAATGGAGGCTGTGAACCTTGCCTACACATTAAAATTACCAGGGGAACATTTAAAAATAGAGATAACCTGGGCCTTATTCCCAGAGGTTGTGATTTCCATGGTCTAGAAGGGACCACTTTTTTAAAATGTTCTCTGGGTGATTCTTAAGGTGAAGTGAGGGCTGAGAACCAGTGAGTTTGAGGTTAACAAGGAGGTACATGAACCATCAGGAAGCTACTTGAGATAGGGTGAGCAGGGAAGAAGGCTTAAATAAATGATCTTGGTTTGAGATGGTATCATCTAAGCGGTAACCTGAAGGACAAAAGGAAGCTCTGGGAAAGTTGAGGCATAGGTGGGATCCAATTCCTGGTGGTGGACAGAACAAAAACAAAGGTACCAAGGCAAGAATGAGCTTGTCATGTTCTCACAACAGAAGACCAGTGTGGGTGGTACAGAGTGGGCAAGAGGAAGAATGCATCAAGATGACTTTGATATGCAGGAGCCAGATTATGCAGGGCCTTGGAGACCATGAGGAGACTGGACTTGATGCTACATGAGATGGGAGCCACTGAAGGGTCTTGAGAGGTGAATGATGTGATCTCATTTTACTTCATCAAGATGACTATGATATGCAGGAGCCAGATTATGCAGGGCCTTGGAGACCATGAGGAGACTGGACTTGATGCTACATGAGATGGGAGCCACTGAAGGGTCTTGAGGAGGTGAATGATGTGATCTCATTTTACTTCTTTCTACTGTGCAGTGCTGTCTGGACTACATGGGTGAAACAACTTAGAAGACTATTTTGTGGTAGTTTAAGGGGGACTTGGTGGTGGCCTGAACTAGGTTCTTGCCTAATATCCATTTCCATGTAGACAGCAGAAGTCTTAGAGTGGTACACAAATCCAGTCTACCCAGGGCCACTGTTTTCTGTAAAACTTTCCAAAGCTAAGATACCGTACATTGCTAATTCTGTGAGCAGTGGCTCAGTGGTTGAAATGTGTATGCTATGGCCTGCCCTAGGGACAAGTTCCCGTTGATCAGTTAATGGGAGAGATGCTTTCAAACTAGAAAACAATACCATGATCAAGAGGCTTAGAAAAAGTAATGGCAACATTGACTCATCTAAATTTTCAAAGGCCACACTAATCACCAGCATTGGGTCTTTTATGCTTCCTGTGCAGAGAGGAAGAGAGACTGGAAGAGAGAGAGAGAGAGAGAGAGAGAGAGAGAGAGAGAGAGAGAGAGAGAGAACTCTGCTTTCAAGGGAATTTAACAAATTGTAGGAAGGGATCAAGACCTGAACACAAATAGAAGAAACATAAGACATAATGAGGTAAGTATCCAAGGGGATGTATAAATATAATCAATAACTGCTACCAGTTATTTAGTACTCAATTTATGCTGAAAACCATGTTGGATGTTTTACGTATGTTCTCACTTCATCTTCACAACTCTATGGAGTAGGTAATATGATCACCCATAATGGTGATGATGATGGCAGCTAACTTGAAGTGCTTCCTAGTGGCCAGGCACTGGGTTTGGTGCTCTGAAATCTCTTATATAGGTACACCTTCATTCTATAGATGAGGATAACTAGGCCCAGCAAGGATAAGTGACATATCCAAGATCACAGAGCTGGGCAGGTACAGCGGTGATACTTAAATGCAGCCTTGACTCTCAAGCCCATGCCCTTAAAGTGTTCTAAAAGTTGAGAGGAGGCAGCTCCTACCTTTCTCTGGGAGGTGCACCTGTGCAGGGATGGAATCCCCCCCACACACACACCATGGAGGAGGAAAGGTGTGAAGATGAGAAAGGAGGGGCCTATTGAGGCTCAGTAAGTGGCCTTACTTGCCAGAGCTTGTGTGTGATGGGGTATAATAGCTCGATGGCAAGGCAGTTCTCCTTCCTGTTTTGGCTCTTAACCACCTCACCTACTCCAACCAGGGCAGAGACTCCCATCAAGCCTGTCTGTCACTTAGGGTTTGATCTTGGGGTGCTTCGGTCTTCCAAAGGCCCCCAAAAGCTCCAACAGTTTTAACTTCACTCCAAGGGAAAACAAAGTATAGATTTTCAAACACAAATCCTGGTGAGTAGGGAGTTGGCAGTTCCCCCTAGTTCTCTCTTAGTAGAAAGTAGCCCTTGGAATTTAGAACATTGACAACTAGATCCAAAAAGGACAGGGAATCCAGAGGACTCAGAAACCAGCACCCAACACAACATCTCAAGTCAGCAAAGAAAGTTCGCCAAGCAACACTACTTGCAACAGCAAAAATTTGCCAATGATGTGAATTCCCCTCGATACAGGATTGATGATATAAATTAGGAAACATCCCCAGGAAAGAACACTAGGTTGTCATTGTAAAGGATGAAGTCAGACTCTATGTTCTGACAAAGAAAGACGTTTCCAAAAGATTGTAAGTGAAAAAAAGCAAGTTACACAACATTCTCTATCATATGATACCATGTAAATCACAGATCTGTTTATGCACACCCAAAATCATTAGTCACCATTATCCGTCAGGGTGTTGGCACAAAGAATTACAGAAGGACTCACACTTTCTAATTCATACACTTTGGTATGTTGTTAACACAACAAGCCAATACTACTTTCAGAGTTGGGGGGAAAACCCTAATAGTCTCCATTTTACAAACCAAAAGGTGCTACCTTAGATCATCCTTTATCCACACTGCCTTTTGTAACCACAACATATCTTGGATTCAGCAGTGCATCTGAAATTGTCTCCTATAACTTTCTCATGAATGGGCTAAGACAAGACAGCAACGGATTAACCAGATTATAACACGAGTCAAATGGATTGGCAACTGATGAAAGAATTTTACCCAACGCATGGATGACTACCAACAGAAAAGTCTCTAAAGGCCACGGGGCTTTTCCACTTCCGTTAATAACTTAGATGACACAGAAAATACACTTACCACGTCTGAAGATGACCCAAAGCTGGCAGGGATATCAAATACGTTGAAGAACAAAGCTGAGATTCAAAACAAGCTCAGATGGGCTGGAATACCAAACTAAAATAAAAAAAAAAAAGGTAAAATGTGTAAGATAAAGTAAAACTCCTCAATTAAAATTTTGAATTTTTTTGTGACGCCAGAGTAAGGGAACCATTGCTTGGCAGCAGCTTACATAAAAACAAACAATTCAAAAAAGATCTAGGGGTTTGAGTTGACCCACAGTGTAATTTGAGCCAACAGTTAGTTTACTGTTGCTTAATCATTTAGCTGTTAAAAACGGAGCACAAGTTTAGGATGTATTAATCAAAGCAGTGTTTCTAGATCCTAGAATAGAAATGTGGCACTGTGATCTCTGCTGTTCCCTCCTGAAGCCTCCTATTCAATTCTAGGCACTACATTTTAAGAAGGTTACTGACAAAGCGGAGCACCTCCAGAGGAGGGTCACGAGAGTGATGAATGGATTTGAAACCATCCCAGAACAGGAGTGGCTCTTGAAAGGACCAGAGATATGGGGCCGGAAAGAGAGAAAAGTCTGGGGATGCATAGTATCCCCACCTGCCTTCGCATCTCAAATAGTGCTTTCCTATGGAAAGTGGGCACTTTTTCTGGGTTGCTCCTGAGACAGATCTAAGACTACTGCCACCCAGTGGTGGCAAGAAGGCCGACTTTTAGTAAACCTGTCAGAAGGCTTTCTGACCTTGAGAGGCTTAGCGGGATGGTGGGGTGGTACGTGTAGGTCAAGGCTGGGTGAACAGAAGCCCAGTAGCAGAATCACATTAACTGGGTCCCTTTCCTCTCTAAAAGGTTCCATTGCTTCCTCCTATTCTCTTTGTCATCACTTCCATTCCATGTCCTCTGGACCAAAGAGCCTTCTCTCTGCAGTCTATAGAGTGGTTAAGGACAGCTCTGCAGGAACTACCAGGGCTGTTGCCCCTTGGTCCTTATCATGCAAAGCCTGTGGATGCAAAATCCACTGCTTATGGGAGGGCCAAATGGTCAATGGAAGTCAGATCACGTCCCTCCCTGAACAAGATCCTCCCCCATGCCTTTTCCATCTCACTCCCTGTAAATGACAGTCATCACATAAGCCTACAAAGCCCTGAACCAGGCGCCCCTATGACCTCTTTGACATCTTATTACCCTTCTCCTTGTTCGCTCTACTCCTGTCACAGGGCTTCCCAGTTCTTTCTTAAATGCCAAGCATGATCCTAAATCACATCACATCGTGCAACATAACATTTTATATTTTTATTCTATCTCCCTCCATGGGTCTATACATTGCTTAAACGCGGGGATCTGCCTGTCCCATTGTTGCTCTTGAACTCCCACCCCTGGAGCACCAGCCAGCCCACAGGAGGTGCTCAGTAACTGTTTCACACAATGATCTCTAAATCCCAAATTCCGGCCATCCTCTTCAGTCTTGATTTCCTTGACAGAAGAGAAATTTCGAATTTAAGAATTGGATCTCGGCAGTGCTGCCAACGCCCTGGAGGAGAAGCTGAGGTCATCATTGAATTTGAAATATTTAAAGTGGATACAAAACTGTTTCAGCAATGCAGAAAATTAAGTGCATTGTTGTGGGCAGGGGTGCCATTGGTAAAACATGTCTCCTGATATCCTACACAACAAACAAATTTCCATTTGAGTATGTACTATGTACCAACTGTTTTTGACAAGTATGCAGTCGCAGTTATGATTGGTGGAGAGCCATATACCCTTGGACTTTTTGATACTGCAGGGCAAGAAGATTATGACAGATTACGACTGCTGAGTTATCCACAAACAGATGTATTTCTAGTCTGTTTTTCAGTGGTCTCTCCATCCTCATTTGAAAATGTGAAGGAAAAGGGGGTGCCTGAGATAACTCACCACTGTCCAAAGAGACTCCTTTCTTGCTTGTTGGGACCCAAATGATCTCCGAGATGACCCCTATACTATTGAGAAACTTGCCAAGAACAAACAGAAGCCTAGCACTCCAGAGACTGCTGAAAAGCTGGCCCGTGACCTGAAGGCGGTCAAGTATGTGGAGTGTTCTGCACTCACACAGAAAGGCCTAAAGAATGTATTTCACAAAGCAATATTGGCTCTGGAGCCTCCAGAACCGAAGAAGAGCCTCAGGTGTGCGCTGCTATGAACATCTCTCCAGAGCCCTTTCTGCACAACTGGTGTCAGCATTGTACTAAAAGCAATGTTAAATCAAACTAAAGATTAAAGATTAAAATTCATTTTTGCAATAATGACAAATGCCCTGCACCTACCCACATGCACTCGTGTGAGACAAGGCCCATAGGTATGGTCCCCTTTCTCCTCTCAGTACTAGTTAATTTGAGTAATTGTGTATTGTCAGAAAAGTGATTAGTACTAGTTTTTGTTCTGTGGTTTCGAAAAAAATTTTTTTTGTTTAAAAGCAAGGCATGCTTGTGATGACTCTGTAACAGTTGAAACTGCTCCCGGCCTCCATCCACTCTGGAGAATGATCTGGGATGTTTAGGTGTTTTTTTTTTTCTTTTTTTGTGGGGGTGGTGGGGTGGTGATGCAGGGAGTGTGTGTGGGGGTTTGTTTTTATTTAGTCATGTTTTTTAAATTCATTAACCATTGGACAGCCCTTAAGGGGAGGAGGATGGATTGATTCCACATTCCACTTCCTAGATCTAGTTTAGAAAACTTGTTCCCCACCTGGTGCTCTTAGGAAGGAGTATAGTAAATGCCTCACTTAATAACATACTCCTTTTTTAAAGTTGCCTTTTCTCTCCACCCTTGAGTAGGTCCAGTATTTGATGAAACTCATGAAAGTGGGTGGAACCTATCTTCCCCTCCTCTTTTCAAGTATGCACTATATATGTGACTGTGACTTTCAAGGAACTGTTGCCATTTGCTGAATTTTTTTGAAGTTAATTTCTAACTTCTTTCACTGATAAACGAAGAAACGTATTGCACGTTTTGAAATACATCAAATAGATTATGTAATTAAAAAACATTTTTCCCTGTCAGTCATTGTCTTATATGCTTAGCATAGGTGTCCAGCTTAATAGTGTATGATACGGTGTTCCTAGAACACAACTGAAGACCGGGTAAATCAAAGAAATGTGAGAGGTGGCACTAGGAGACAGATGTCTATGGAATGATGCACATCCTCTTTTAAGCTGGGAGGATGGAGACCTGCTTCATGAAGAAGCTGGGGGTATGGGTGTGGGTGGGGAGAACATTTAACAGCATGGGGACCAGTCAGGGGAATCCCCTTATTTCTGTTTTGCATATGAGGAACCCTAGAGTAGCTAGTTAAGGCTCTCTAGTTTAATAAAAAAAATCATGGAGTCTTATGAAGACTCTTCACAAGTGTTAATAGGGATTTTATCCACTTATTTTGGTCACGGTTTCCAATTTTTAAAAATATTTAGGTAATCTTCTCCCCTTCCCCAAATCCTAATTCTTGTAGATTCATTAGTGTTGAACCAATGCTTTCTTATGTCTCAATTCTTTGTATATGCATTCTTTTCAGATGTATTAAACAAACAAAAAAACCCTTCAAAAAAAAGAATTGGATCTCAAAATAGGCACAAGGACTGGTGTCTCAGTAGTAAGCTTTGGGGTGTCTTCATGATTTTATGTTCCTCGAGTTCTTGCTGTGCAGCCATATTACATGACGATTACCTGGCCATAGGAGCTGGAGTGGCTGACATCTACTGTGGACATACCCTGTGCCAGACACTTGACTTGAATTCATTCATTGAATCCTTGTCGGCTGCACTGGTAGTATTCCCATTCGGAAGACCAGGAAACTGAGAAATAGGGAGGTGATTTGACTTGGCCAAAGCAATGCAACTAACATCAGGCAGGCTCCCACGTGCCCTGACTTCACTGTAAGATAAAAACAGATGATGATGACGATGATGATGATGATGATGATGATGATGATGATGGCAGCTAGCCCATCTTTAGGACTCACCACGTATTAGGCACGGCGCTAAACGTTTAAAACATATTGCCACCTGGGGCACCTGGGTGGCTCAGTCGGTTGAGCATCTGTCTTGAGCTCAGGTCATGATCCCCGGGTCCTGGGATAGAGTCCTGAATTGGGCTCCCTGCTCAGCAGGAGTCTGCTTCTTTTTCTTTTTCTCCTTCTGTCACCTCTTCACTCTCTCTCTCTCTCTCTCTCTCTCTCTCTTTCTCTCTCTCAAATAAATAAATACATACAATCTTAACTAAATAAAAAATAAAACACATCACCATCTTGCATGCTCAGAATAGCCCTATGAAGTGGGAACTGTTGTCAGGGCCATTTTACAGTACTAGGCTCTCCTGTCGTGTCATCACCCACACCCACCATCCCACTTGGACTCTTCTTTGGTTTCATGAAAGGCATGTTTTGACTCTGTCTTCTGGCCTCATGGAGAAGCTGGAGCAGCGATCATCTGTCGGGTACTACTTGAACCCTCTACTCCATGCAGATCATCCCACAATCAGCCCTTTCCACCATATTCTCTCTCACTGTATAGTCTGTACATTTCACTCAGGCCAGGTCATTTCCAGCTTTGCAGCGCTGGCTCTTTCCACTCACATATGTCGCCTTTTGTCTGACTTACCCTATAACTTATGAAAGGTAGCTAGGCCTTAATCTCCTCGAGTTGCCCTGAGCAAATGGTACATGGTATTCGCTTGCACATAGTAGGTGCTTAATAATGATTCTTGTAATAATGATTACAATTCGTGACTTTGTACAAATGCTATGCCCTCACCGTTGTAACATGTTCTCTTCAAAGGGCACTTATATGTATTATCTCGGTTTTACCTCACAGTAGCCCTGGGAGATAAGAAAGGCAAATTGTATTTCTCTCAGTTTTACAGTGAAGGAAATTGAGGACCAGGGAGGTTAAATAAGTTGTCTCAGGGCATGCTGAGTCCCGCCCTCTGGACTCTGAGCCCCAGATTCTTTGCACTAGACCACACAGATTCTACCCAAGAGCCCTGCTGGCTGGGAGTAATGCTAATAACGCTGTACTATAAAGACCCTGTCTTGATTCTATCACTGGAGCAAAAGTAATAAAGAACACACCAAG